ACTATGTGGGGAGTTGATGCCCCTAACCTGTAATTCATTATGCTGTATTTCTGTTGTTTTAAAATTTTGCTTATAAAGGTGTTAATTCATTAATTCAGAGTAATACTGTAAAACAATACTCTGACTTGTATTTGCTACATTTTGAATATATGGAGAAATTACTTTTGAGGGGGACTTTATATAATTGAACCATTTGAGTTACTAATAATCACATTGACAAATTCAGAAAATTTCCCCACCAACACTGAAATTATCCATCAGAATCACAGTAGATTCCCTATGTCACATGCAAAAATACCTTCCAAGTTCTATATCCATATATTTCAATCAGGTTCAAAAGGGAAGAAGGGATGCAAAAGTAAAACTGTAATAACAATTTTAAATACCATCCTCCATTTTCCCTGAAATTTTTGTCTTTGAGTTAGTATAATGGTCTAAATTTTGCCCAAAAAAAAACTAAGAAAAATATTTCTTCAGTCTTACAAAAATTTAAATACTTCTTGGGTTTTCAACTCAAATTATATGTAATCACAAACCTATAATAAAGCACAAGGTTAGCAAAACATTAAAAAAAATTAACCTCAAATAAATATAATTTTATCTTATGTTATAGTACCTTTGTTCTACTCACTTTTTTCAGCTTGCTAAGAAGACTCTAGATTTCTTTTCAATGTTTAAAAGCAACTGATATTTTCATTTCCTCTTCCCTTTAAAAATAGTAGAAAAATCTATTTTAAAATAGAGGCAAAAGCTCCTTGAAACATTTTTCCTCACCTCAAAACAGACCTATACTTGGTATATATTTTCTTACATTTTTAAAATGGGAGACAGAGGATCATAATGAAACAATTTTCTTTTTATAACTAGGTCTGACAGAGTGACATATCCATGGGACACACAAGAGAAATACAGTGTAATTTTTATACATATATATACATATGTGTGTATATATATATATGACACACCATTGCCTTATATAGTACCCCTAATTTAAAAGACTGCATTAAATTCACTTATCTATTATCTATATCTATTATTTTAGATACAGCAATTACTATCATTTAAGATAAAACAATACTGATGTTCAAAATACTTCTGTAGATAATACGGAAGGTAAGTGTTTGCCCCATAACCAGATAACTACAGGCAACAACTAAACACACAAACCAGAAACATAAATAATATACTATTCATTATGAACAAGTTCTAGTCAGGCTTCATATCATACTTAATGGCTAAAAACTAAAGAGCACCTAGCAGAAGAAATAAATGCTTTCATGTGAATCAAAAGGTTCACTTAGCAAATCCTCAGCAATACTGACCATAAAGACAACATTACACATCAGCCTCTTACTTAAGATTCTTAAGATTCTATCTCCTTGGTCTGCTTCAGAGAGCTCACTATAGGTTGATTACATACATTTATGCTGCTTCTCAAGAGAAGCGAAGTTCATAGCTTTGCATGTGATGGCATCCTTGACAGGACAACAGGATGTCTCAAATACACAGAGGTACCCAATGTGTACTTTCCAACTTACACATAGGAATATGCTTGCTTTCTATAATGTGTATTTAAGAAGAGCTCAAGACTTTCTTAATAAAATTTAGATGGCAATGAAACTTTCTAAGTCATGAAAGACTATCTGAAAGCTATTAAATAAATTCTATCTTAATTACTGTAATTTTAAGTACACCTTTTTCTGAATAATTCAAATAATATCTTTAAGCAAATTTATAATGTACAGAGTTTAGCCTTGCCAATATGGAAACTTCATTTTAAAAAAAAGAGAAAGAAAAGAAAACTATTCAAAGCCTCTAGCCAGAGATAAAATTGTTAATCATTTTAGGCTTTCTAACAAAGTACTTAAATTTTCATACAAAACCATAACTCTTCTTTCCTTAAAAATATATTCTCTAGTAGAATACCAAACTAGAAAAGAGATCTGAATAAATCATACCTAAAGCATGATCTTTCAGTGTAAAATATTTTCCCACAGATCCAAGGAGACCAAAAACTATGACATATAACCCAAAAACAGAAGCCTAGGGACCCAGGATATGAAAAACATAAGAGACCAGATCAGCAAAAGAAGCATAAGCTCACAATCACATAAGACAGAACATCTATACAAAAGTTTTAAAAATAAAAAATAAATACAGGCCATAGAATTAAGTTAAAAGTGAAAAGTCAGTACATTTTCATGAAAGGACATAAAAACTTTGTGAATACTGTAACCACTATATAAATACAGACCTACATCAGAGATACTGTGGGTTCAGTTCCAGACCACTACAATAAAGCAAATATTGCAACAGTGAGTCAAATGAATTTTGTGGCTTCCCAGTACATATAAAAATTACATTTATATTACACAGTAGTCTATTAAGTGTACAATAGCATTATATTTTAAAGAAACAATGTCTATATCTCAATTTTAAGATATTTAAATTAATTTAAAAAATTTTTATTGCTAAAAAATGCTAACCATCATCCGAGCTTTCAGCAAGCCTTAATTTTTTTGCTGGTGGAGGGTCTTGCCTTGATGTTGATGGTTGCTGACTGATCAAGGTGATGGTTGCTGAAGGTTGGGGTGGTTGTGGCCATTTCTTAAAATAAGACAATAATGAAATTTGCCTCACTGATGGACTCTTCCTTTCACGAACAATGTCTCTGTAGCATGAGATACTGTTTGACAGCATTTTACCCACAGAAGAACTTCTTTCAAAATTAGAGTCAATCCTCTCAAACCCTGCTGCTGCTTTATCAACTAAGTTTATGTAGTATCCTAAATCCTCTGTTGTCATTTCAACAATCTCTACATCATCTTCACCAGGAGTAGATTCCATTTCAAGAAACCACTTTCTCTTCTCACCCATGGGAAGCAATTCCTCCTCCATTGTAGTTTTATCATGAGATCGCAGCAATTCAGTCACATCTTCGGGCTCCACATCCAATTCTAATTCTTTTGCTATTTTTACCACATCTGCAGTTACTTCCTCCACTGAAGTCTTGAACCCCTCAAAGTCAACCATGAGGGCTGGAATCAACTTCTTCCAAACTCCAGTTAATGTTGACATTTTGACCTCTTCCCATGAATCACGAATGTTCTTAATGGCATCTAAAATAGTGAATCTTTTCCAGAAGGCTTTCAGTTTACTTTGCCCAGATCCATCAGAGGAATCACTATCTATGGCAGCTATAGCCTTACGAAATGTATTTCTTAAATAATAAGACTTGAAGGTTGAAATGACTCCTTGGTCCATGGGTTGCAGAACAGACGATGAGTTAGCAGGTATGAAAACAACATTAATCTTATTGTACATCTCCATCAGAGCTCCTGGGTGACCAGGGGCATTGTCAATGAGCAGTAATATTTTGAAAGCAATTTTTTTTTCTGAGCAATAGGTCTCAACTGTGGGCTTAAAATATTCAGTAAACCATGTTGTAAACAGATGTGCTGTCATGCAGGCTCTGTTATTCCATTTATAGAGTACAGGCAGAGTAGATTTAGCATAATTCTTAAGAGCCCTAGGATTTTCAGAATGGTAAATGAGCATTGGCTTCAACTTAAAGTCACCAGCTGCATTAGCCCCTAACAAGAGAGTCAGCCTGTCCTTTGAAGCTTTGAAGCCAGGCATTGACCTCTCCTCTCTAGCTATGAAAGTCCTAGATGGCATCTTTTTCCAATATAAGGCTGTTTCATCTACATTGAAAATCTGTTGCTTAGTGTAGCCACCTTCATTAATTATCCTAGCTAGATCTTCCGGATAACTTGCTGCAGCTTCTACATCAGCACTTGCTACTTCACCCTGCACTTTTATTTTATAGTTATAGAGACGGCTTCTTTCCTTAAACCTCATGAACCAACCTCTGCTAGCTTCAAACTTTTCTTCTGCAGCCTCCTCACCTCTCTCAGCCTTCATAGAATTGAAAAGAGTTAGGGCTTTGCTCTGGATTAGGCTTTGGCTCAAGGGAATGTTGTGGCTGGTTTGATCTTCTATCCAAACCACTAAAACTTTCTCCATATCAGCAATAAGGCTGTTTTGCTTTCTTATCATTCGTGTGTTCACTGGAGTACCACTTTTAATTTCCTTCAAGAACTTATCCTTTGCATTTACAACTTGGCTGACTGTTTGATGCAAGAGGCCTAGCTTCCGACCTATCTCTGCTTTTGACATGCCTTCCTCACTAAGCTTAATCATTTCTAGCTTTTGATTTAAAGTGAGAGACATGCGACTCTTCCTTTCACTTGCACACTTAGAGGCCATTGTAGGATTATTAATTGGCCTAATTTCAATATTGTTGTGTCTCAGGGAGTAGAGAGGCCCGAGGAGAGGGATGGATGGAGGAAGGACCAACTGGTAGAACAGTCACAACACATGCAGTATTTATCAATTACGTTCACTGTTAATGGGTCTGGTTCATGGCACCCCAAAATAATTACAACAGTAACAATCAAAGATCACTGATCACAGATCACCATAACAAATACAACTATAATGAACAAGTTTAAAAGACTGAAAATTACCAAAATGTGACACAGAGACCCTAAGTGAGCAAATGCTCTTGTTAAAAATGGTGCCAATAGACTTCCTCGATGCAGCAGTACCACCTTTGATTTGTAAAACACACATCTGCGAAGCACAATGAAGTAAAGTGCAATAAAACAAGGTATACTGTATCTGTATAGGTATACCTATACTGTATTAACCTTCAGATTTGGGTTATCTCTTTTGGGAGGTTTAAGGTATTAATTTTTAATCTCAAATTCTTTACAAAGAAATTTACCTCCCTCCGAAATAGTAAGTCAGGTAGTACTTCAAGTTTTTTCCTTCATGGAAACAGTTGCTGGAATAGAAACATCTTTTCATGCTCTAATAAAGATTTTGAATATAAATCTTTTTCTCCTACAGAAATCAATTATTGGTAATATATCTTCTTCTCTTAGCAAATTAAATAACTGTTGAATCACATATTTAATACCAAAGAAAACGTGATATAATTTAAAAATGTGTTTATACACCAGCTCAAGACAATCAATTAACCTCCATTTCCACTTAAAAAACACAAGACAAAAGGAAGTTTTTCTGTCTACTCTTCAAAAACGGGGACGGGTGGCTATAGGGGCTAATTCAGAAATTACAGTTGTCCTTTATCTGCCGGAATGTAACTCATGAACTGTCACCCCTTTCTAATTCCTGTATGTTGTCACACGTATTGCTTTCTTTGCCCTCTTGGTATGTACGAAGCTGCTCCATGAAGCCAGCATTTGGACATATGGAAGGCCTTGCATTTTTCACCAAAGAGAAAGCACTTGTAAATGAAATTTCTTCAGAATTCATCAGGAAACCTATTACAATTGCAGCAGCCCTGGAAACTCCTGCATTACAATGAACAAGAAGCACTCCGTCCTGCAATAAAACCAATCAAAAATCTCCATTATTCACTTAGAAAGTTTATTAAATCACTTGTACATTCTTATGCTACCTGAAATTATAAAAATACTCATTTTATCAATTTGTTTGATTCAATGTATTCAATTACCAAAATACAATTCCTTATAAGCAATGAATGGAAAAAAATCAATTAATCCATCAAAAAACTTTTTTCTACCCCCCAGGGATTGAAATGCTTTGATAATGTATTTGGAATTTTGAAAAAGTATCTTTTATCAAACTGAAGTAATCTAGTAAAGTATATGTAAAAGCCTGTGTTAGGAGATACACATCTATAAATAAGAGAAAAGTCACAGGTAATATACATATAGAAATAAATAAAACCATAGTCATAACACTAAACAGAAAGACTGAAACATCATAGGCACACAGTGTTCCTAGAAAGAAACCAGTGTCACTGGCTTGGTAATCTATGTGTAAAATGACCAGAAAGGAAAAAATTTTCTACCCTCAGATATACTTTATTCTGGAAGGGAGTAACTTTAAAAAAGTTAAATTTATGAGGTAGTAAAATGATGACACAAACAGCTCATGACAATGTGAAGTAGAAAAGGCAATTAGATACTTTAGCATCAGATCAATAAATGAAAAATGTCTCAGATAACTTGCAAATGATACTTTACAAGTGAAAAGGGACACGGTGCAAGACCAATGCTGATGGGGGTAATACTGCATTAATAATGAAATGATGGAGCTGAAGGAAAAGCACTGATTAGGCTGCCTTGTCTCAGGCTTTTAAAAAGTTAATTATCTAAGCAAAATGAACTGAACTGGAAGCACACCTTACAGAATTAGACATTTTAGTTACTTCATTTCCTGATTCTTCTTTGGTACAACACAAAAGAAAGATTGGAACAGGGTAAGGGGAAAAAAATAAAACCTAAACTAAGTCTCTACCCAAAGCATATATTAACAATACCATATTTATAACTCATTGGATCATTTCACTTTTGCAAGGTAGTTTTCTCACAATTAAAAATCTGTTGAAAACTCCTTTCCTAATCTATTGCAATAAATTTACAAATGCTTCTCATTTCAAGAAAACCAAATGATTCACAATAAAATTAGTTAATCTTTTGAAAATCCTCATATATGTAAAAGACAATTTCAATTGTTTTCTTATATATATGATTATTTCCAAATTTTAACTGTTTCTGTACAGGATGGGCTAACACCAATACTCGCTATACATATATGCAACTTTCTTACTTTGTATAATAGCTCATTTTTATGAGATTAAAGGCACTTAAAAATCATATTATAGTAAATTATGAAAACTGGTAAGGAACTTCTTTTATCTCAAAACAAATCAGTTGTTCAAAAGAAACCTAAAGTTGTAAGCTAAATAAGAGATATCATTCAATGTCATTTTTAATATTTCCTGACTACATACTAGTCATCAGTTTTGAGTCATAATATGTCTTTGCAAACGAAAGAAGCTTTATTTTCAGCCTTACATACTATGTATCCATGGTCGGCTCATGTTTAATAATGTTAAGTATTCCTGGGTGGCTCAATGGGTTAAGTATCTGACCTAAGTATTCTCAGGAAAGTTATTGGCTTTTTATCCCCTTTCTAGAACTCAAAATAGTAATAATTTAAAAATTTATAAAGAAACTTTTTATTTTGCACCAGCTATTGCCCTCTGCCTAGAAGGCCTCTGCTCCACTTCTTGGTCTAGCTAATACTGGGTTCTGTTCTAAGTAGTCTGTCTCTTTCTGAGTGAGATGGGGTCAGGGGAATATCTTAGCCATCTTTGTATGCTGTGTCCTTAGTGCAGTTTTAGGCACATAGTAGATATTCCATAAATGTTTGCCAAGCAAATAAATTAATTTTGTTTTCCATTTCCAAGAAGAAAGTGTTCTCTTAAAAATTTGAATCATCATTTTGCTCTGGGCAGATAGAAATCATGTTAAAGTATTTCTAGTTTATCAAGCATTCTTTGTTCTCATGCTGGTGTGAATAACTTTTCAACTAGACTGCAAGCTCCGTGAGGGCAGTAGTATGTATGTTTCCCTCATATCTTCTCAGAATAAGTAATTAATATTTGTTGACAGATAAACCGAGCCAAGTTTAGGTCTTTTTTAAATGAGTCTTTTGATATCAAATGTTAAAATATATATATCAAAATGTTACCAGTAATTATGTCTAAACGGTGTAAGGACAGTAAATTTTTACTTATCTGTATTTTTTAATTTTTCTACAATGACACTGTTTACTTACATCACGTTTTTAAAATCACATCACATAAAATGAGTGATAGAGTAAACATGGAATATCAAATACACCTTTTCATATTAACAAAACCTTCTGCACATAAAAATAGGCAGTCAAGTATATTTTCATAAAAGAACTCTTAAGGCTATAGAGGTTACCCTACTACTTTCCTCTCATGTGTATTTCTGTCTCTTAATGCAAAAACCTAACAAATAATGCGTGAGGCAGAGATAGAGGAAAGGCAGAGAAACCAAACAATAGGGTTTTACAAGTACAGAAAACAATGAGAAAAGACATGGGGAAAGAGAAGAGAATCCTTTTGGCAGCTGAATATGAAAAGATAAAACAAGTAAGTATAGGGCTAGAAAGGTAGTTTTAAGACACTCAATTCACTGAGTAATCACATTCAATAAAACCTGTACATACAACAGAGAAAGTTATGAAAGGATTTCTTCTAGAAAAAAGTGAAAAAATTCAAGAATTCTATTGCTAAAACTAAGTATGTATTACTCTGAACAGCAAAGAGTTTTCAGGGCAAGGAAATATTGGCTGAGATTAGGACAGTAGTATAAAACATAATGCTTGAGAAAATTAGAACAGATTATGGAATTCTAATACATCTTATAGCAGAAACATTTTAGGTACCTCCTCAGATTCTCTTGGTGCCATCACGTCATGGGCCCTAAGCTTCTCCACCTCTGCCTCCACTTCTTGGCCAACTGCTCCCCTTAGGCCTGATGAGTTTTGCTTGCCTAAGAAGGCCTGGCTCTTCCCCCGTGGTGGTCACTGCATAAACAAGTAGGCCCTGAATTCTGGACTCTCCTGCTGCTTCTGAATGTGAATGAAAAGTCAGACCACAGACTACTGAGTTTGGCTTCAAGGCAGCTGCTAAAGGAGTGGATTGTTGTAACTTGGAATTGTGGTATTAGTTACCTCCCCGTGGGCAAAGTTTGATCGTGTAGAACAGGAGCTGACAGAGAGCCAGATGAATTCTCTCTTCTCGCCCTCTCAAAGTCTGTACAGTGGCACAGTTTCTTTGTCCTCCCTGACGGAATGACTTCAGTAGCAAAGGAGGTACACCTGCTGAGCACCCAACTATTTCACCGGCAGCTCCCTGTGCAGTTGTGCTGAGCAAGGGAAATGCATCATCCTTTCGCAGCTTCCCATCCTTTCCTGAGTCACCTCCCTTTCTTCCCACTCTCACTGCCCATGGATTCCATCTTTCAAATGAAGTACCAGCTTTTAATCTTTGTCTCGGGTTCTGTTTTTTAGGAAACCCAAGAAAAGGAAACTTTTAATTAATTATTACTCTTTCCACATTTTACTTCAACATGTACATGTCTTCAAATAAGAATATGCATATGGATGATGCCTACATTTTTCTTTTACCATTTAAGGTATATTCCACATCTCCTTAGAGAAGCAGCTAATAGAGAAATATGATCATGTTTATTTTTAACACTATCACAACTGACACACTGTAATGTTATAATCTAGACCTTATAAAGGTTTTCATAAGAGAAAACACTGGCCAATATTAGGCCTTGAATTAGAAACCCTCCTCCCCTTCTTTTATCTAAATACCCGCTATTAAATAAAGCTGAATGGCAGAGTTGAATAGATTTATATTTTCCAGATAATCTAAAGGAAAGCACCTAAAACAGTGCTGGACATGTAAAGCATTCAGTAAATTTTACTAAATATAAAGAAGGAGGGGCGAGAGAAGAAAAAAAGGAAAGGAGAAAAGGTAGAAGGGAAATCATTACCCAGATTCAAGTAAGCTGGATTCTGATGTTAAGTGTCATTAATTGTTAGGTGCCCCAGGACAGTTACCTTTTCTCTGTAAATGCTTCTACATTCCCATCTACTTATGTCACATAAACTTTCAAGAATTATATACTAACTAAAAGTGACATCATTTCAAGGTATAATTACTGGTAACAGCCAACCTAGAAGCCCAGTGTTAACTTGGATCTATTACCAAAGTTGAAGTAGGACATTATCTGTTGGTCTTTTAAAATCAGAGAACCAATGCACAGCTTCTGATCAGCATTTTCATACAATCTCAATAAAGCAATACACATTTAGTCTTTAGAGCACCCTATAATTTTCTATTATTAAAAATGCATAAATTCACTATCCCTACCACAGTCATAAAAATGCAAATTAATCTTCATAAATACATTGAAAGGACTACAGCAGCATCCATCACATACTCCATCTGATTATCTTGCAAAGTGGTCAGAGGGCAGGTGGTTATAAACCATCGAAGGAAATCTAAGTACATATAAACACAGACAAATTCAGTAAGTGGAGAATTTTATCTCCTACCATTTCTGAGGAAGCTATAGGAAGATGAGAAATTAATGTTAAAAGTAAGTATCTCGGGGTGCCTGGGTGGCTCAGTGGGTTAAAGCCTCTGCCTTTGGCTCAGGTCATGATCCCAGGGTCCTGGGATCGAGCCCCGCATTGGGCTCTCTGCTCAGCAGGGAGCTTGCTTCCCTTCCTCTCTCTCTGCCTGCCTCTCTGCCTACTTGTGATCTCTGTCTGTCAAATAAATAAATAAAATCTTTTAAAAAATAAATAAATAAATAAATAAATAAATAAAAGTAAGTATCTCATAAAGAGGCACCTGGCTGGCTTAGTCAATAGAGCGTGCAAATTTTGATCTCAGGGCACAGAAATTATTAAAAAAATAAAAAAAAAAGTACATATTTCATTGAGAGGAAAAAAACTGGATAACTAAATAGTTGTAGAAGTTCATGAAAGACTGTTGGGGGGAAATTTCATAGTGATTCTCTATGTATTCATTACAAAGAGAATAAAGATTGAATAATGGACTTGTATTTTAAAATTTCTGCCTTTGAAGAACTGTGGATCAAAACAAAACTTACCTTCATTTTCACTTGTTCAATAAATTCAAAACATTCTGGAAAATAAGACAGGATATTGGTTTCAGGCAGATCCAATATAGAAATGCTCTTATATATAAAGTCACCGAGGAAAGCATTTTCAACTCCATATGCAACATTGAGAATATGAGTCACCTTAAAGAGAAAAAAAAAAGATGATTTTTAAAACTTAGCTACGAATTAATATTAGGCAAGAGAATGGGATGTTGAGATTTGTAACAAGAATAAACAATTTAAGCATAAGTCACTTGAATAATATGTGCAGGAATTCTCTGATACCTCCCTCACCAAAAGTGCTAATTCTCTGTATTCCCATAGCACCCTCTACCTGCCCTAATTATAACTCTCCCCACTTTGAGATTATCTGTCTCCCTGATGGTACTAGAAACTCCAAGAAGGTAGGGTCCATGTTTGGTTTATTCACTGTTATAGAGGTAAGCACTGTGAGGGCCACCTGGGTGGCTCAGTGGGTTGAGCCTCTGCCTTTGGCTCAGGTCATGATCCCAGGGTCCTGGGACCGAGCCACGCATCGGGCTCCCTGCTCGGTGGGGAGCCTGCTTCCCCCTCTCTCTCTGCCTGCCTCTCTGCCTTCTTGTGATCTCTCTGTCTCTGAGTCAAAAAAAAAAAAAAAAGTAAGTACTGTGAGTGAGCAGTGACCTGAGCACAGAAAGCACCTAAAATATTTGTTGGAAAAATCAATGAATATCCATATAAAAAACTTGAATAAGGGAAGTATATCAATAACACAAACTTCCCTTTCAGTAACTATTTCCCAATTTCCCTTCACATTCATTATAAATACGATGGTTCTCAAGAGTGGCGGCACCGGAAAACAGTATGGAGGTTCCTCAAAAAGTTGAAAATAGAGCTACCCTAAGACCCAGCAATTGCACTACTGGGTATTTATCTGAAGGGGCATGTGCACCTGAATGTTTATAGTAGCAATGTCCACAATAGCCAAACCATGGAAAGAACCTAGATGTCCATTAAAAGATGAACTGGATAAAGAAGATATGGTATATACAGACTATGCAGCCATCAAAAGAAATGAAATCTTGCCATTTGCAATGATGTGGACAGAACTAGAGGGTATTATGCTAAGCGAAATAAGTTAATCAGAGAAAGACAATTATCATGGGATCTCTCTGATATGAGGAATTTGAGAGGCAGGGTGGGGAGTAGTAGGGGTAGGGAAAGAAAAAATGAAACAAGATGGGATCGGGAGGGAGACAAACCATAAGAGACTCAATCTCAAGAAACAAACTGAGGGTTGCTGAGGGGTGGGAAGGTAGGGATAGGGTGACTGGGTTATGGACATTGGAGAGGATCTGTGCTATGGTGAGTGATCTGAAGCCTGATGATTCACATACCTGCACCCCTGAGACAAATAATACATTATATGTTTAAAAAAAAAAAAAAAAAAAGAGTGGCTACACATTTGAATCACTCAGTGAGCTTTTAAAAGATGTCAATGCCATAGGGCCTCAAACCCAGAGCTTCCAGTGAATGAGTCTGACTGAAAGGATGGTCATGAAAGTCTTTCCAACGGTACACAAAAGCAAACTTCTACTCCATCTGTGCATTTGAGTTCCTTTCCTACAGCCTACCAAGCATATGGAAGGAGCCATGTGGAAAGTCAGTTAAAAGATTCCAAAAGTAAAATGGATCAGGAAAATAAGGCACTATTTCTTGTTATGACATGCCTCACTGTTCTTATTCTCTCTCTTAACGTGGGTGTTAGGTTTTGCCTGATCTCCGTGTTTTCATGTACTTCACACATATTTTAGACTATGTGTCCAGCTCTGCCTCTCTTGCCCCTACTACCCTCATAGAGATGGCTCTGACAGTGCCCTACTCCTCCCCCTAGTACAGCTGACTGCATTCAGGCAGACACCCAACTTAAACAAGACTAATCAAATTATCTTTAGAAGTTTTCAAAATAGGTGTACAAGACAGCTAGTATGATCCCCAAACTTGATAGCTGTAAGACAGCCACTTTCTTTTAAGTGCTCAAAGAAGCTGAAAATTTTCTGCTCCCAAATAATAATAGAGTAGATTTGCAGAGAGGGGCCATGATGCCTGTGGGAGAGAAGCACCATCTTGCATGGCGTTCTATTCTCCAGTACAGCTACTTTCTGCCCTCAGATTCCAGAGATCCCCCTAAATCATTATACACATTCTCTTTCCTTACTTGGGTTTCTGTGCTTCCCAACACAGGATTTAGGCCTTATGAAAACAGGCCATAGGCCATTTACTGACCTAACTGCCTTGTGGAAGAAAAACAGAAAACATCTCATATGTCTATTCAAGAAAGACTTTTTTTTTTTTTTTAAGATTTTATTTATTTGACAGAGAGAGATCACAAGTAGGCAGAGAGGCAGGCAGAGAGAGAGAGAGAAGAGGAAGCAGGCTCCCTGCCTAGCAGAGAGCCCGATGTGGGACTCGATCCCAGGACCCTGAGACTATGACCTGAGCCGAAGGCAGAGGCTTAACCCACTGAGCCACCCAGGCGCCCCAAGAAAGACTCTTAAATAAGGAGGAGAAACTAGAAAGAAAGGTAAAAATATTTTTAGAAGATAAAGTCTGAAATGTCCTTCTGTTTTCCCCAGTGAAGTCCTATCTATGTCAAGTCACTCACAGCCAGTATACTTCTGACCACCAGCATATTATGATTCTGCCCTTAATTATATAACAGCTTCCAATGTTTTACATTATTGATGTGTTGGCCTTGTCTTTACAACTGTATTGTACATTCCCAAAAAACCAGGAATGAGGAATTTTATATGTGGATGTATTCATATGCATATATATATATGTATATATATGCACAAGCGCAAACACACACATCTCTCACTATCTATAGATCTTCACAGGATTATGGAGAAAACCAAATGACAATCTTGGGAAAATCTGCTGAAAAGTAAAAGTGCTTTACAAATATTGTGGATTACCAATACCTGGGGAGTTTAGCTGCTGGGAAATGCAGTTTACATGTGTATTGATTAGTTCTGATTAAAAAGAATTGTACTGAGTCACAGGTGGTAGTGGTGATAGGCATCCAGTCTAAAACCCTTTCTTTTTTTTTTAAGATTTTTTTTTTTTTTTTAATTTGACAGAGAGAGATCACAAGTAGGCAGAGAGACAGGCAGAGAGAGAGAGGGGAAGCAGGCTCCCCGCCAAGCAGACAGCCTGATGTGGGACTCGATCCCAGTACCCTGAGATCACAACCCGAGCTGAAGGCAGAGGCTTAACCCACTGAGACACCCAGGTGCCCCAGTCTAAAACCCCTTCTAACCACACTTCCAAAATGTAGTTACAGAGGTCCTAACAATGATTGCTCTTGGGAAGCCTTCTGAAATAGGGATAGTAATAGCCCCTTATCGAGAACCTAATATGTGCCAGGCATGTAAGTTATCTCACTTAATCCTCACATTTAGGCATTCCTACTTCCAATTTTAATAAATCTCATATATTGAAAATGATTAAAAAATCAGAACATTATAAAAAAGAAACATAAAGAAATCTTGCTCTCATCATGTCCCAATCTACTCCATTATCTCCCACCTTAATGGTAACCACCTTTGTTGGTTTTCTGTATATTTTTTGGAGCATCTTTAGGCAAAGAATTTATTCCCTTTCTTACACAAAGGCAACACCTTGGGTTCCCCTCTCACTTAAATTTATCCTGGAGATTTTTTCATATCAGTATTTACAGACCGTTCTCCTGATGTTCTTTTATATAGCTATGCTGTATTCTAGGGTGTGAGTACACTATTGATTATTTAAACAGTTCACTATGAATGAACACATAGGTTGTTTCCAATGATTTGCTATTATGAACAATGCAGCAATAAGTAACTTGGAACATTTTATGTTATACTCAGCTTTCCATCTTTCACAGTGCTTTATAGGGCACATACCAGGCACTTGGATATCTTACCAATAAAACAACTACTATTACTATACCCAAACATTAAAATGAAATTCCTATTGAAATTTCTGAAATGATCCTCCACAAGAGAATTTCTATTAATTATAGCACTTTACTTAAGTCCTAGAATATCCCTTTGAAATGTGCCATGCATTTAAATGAATAATCTAGTTTTGCCAAATCACCTAATTTTTCATTAAACCCTCTACTTAGGTGCTCAGTTTACCTCTGCTTCTTTTAGGCCTCTAACAGGGTCACATGTACAGAGACAGAGGGATCTTTTATTTAATTTTTAAAATTGTTATTTATTTATTTGTTTGACAGAGAGATAGATAGCACAAGCAGGCAGAGCAGCAAACAGAAGGAAATGAAGAACCAGGCTCTCTGCTGAGCAGGGAGCCCAACATGGGGCTCAATCTCAGGACTTTGGGATCACAGCCTGAGCCAAAGGCAGCCGCTTAACCAAGTGAGCTAACAGAGCAATCAAACAACAGGTGCCCTCAGAGGGATCTTTTAAACAGTTGCTTGATTCACATCACCAGGGTGAAAGCAAATTTGAATTGGTGTACCCTAAGAGGGGATAGATCACAAAACACTTGCCAATGAATGAATTTATCAGTTTTTCTATTTTTCATTTTTTTCTTGAGAAATATTAACTTATTAGTGTAAGCAAGACTTTGAAACTTATTCTACTTATGTTAAAATATTAATCTAAGATGGATTCTATTAGGAGATACAGTAATTCTCATAACCGTATGCAATTCCAGGCCATTATCTCTAATGTCAGGCAGTCATAACAGTTACTACAACTGCCCCCTAAATTAGTTTCCCCACACTAGTTTGTGCAACACTCCAATTTATTTTCCACAATGCCTCTGACAAGAATCTTTCAAACTGCAAATTTGATCCTATTACTCCCCTGGGTAAGGAATTTCAAAGACTTCTGGAAAAGTCCAAAGCATTTACTCTGGTTTACATGGACTTTAATGATCTTACTCTTGCTTACGTGTCTGGCCTTGTTTCTTGGTATCCTTCTTTCTCACTCTCTAATTCCTGGGTTACTGAACTTTTTTTTCTTTTTTTTTAGAAAAAAATTTTTTTTTAAAGATTTTATTTATTTGACAGAAAGAGAGCGAGATAGGGAGAGAGGCAACACAAGCAGGGGAGTGAGAGAGAGAGGAAGGCTTCCTGCTGAGCAGGGAGCCTGACATGGGGCTTGATCCCAGGACCCTAGGATCAAGACCTGAGCCAAAGGCAGCCGCTTAACGACTGAGTCACCCAGGTGCCCCCTTTTTTTCTTTCCCCTATCTCTGAAACCACTGACCTTTCTCTTCTGAGCCTTCACACAAAGCATTTCTCCTAAATGAACACTTTTCTGTCTGCTCCCTCCCCATCCCGTTCTGAGTAAACTTCAGTATCATTCCCTCCAGGAAGATTTCCCTGATCTTACAATCCTCAACCCAACCCAAACAAACAAGGGCAAAGGGCATCATCTCATATACTCTGCAACAGCACTTGCATTTCCCCATTAAAGCACAAAATACAGTGGACTAAAGCTGCTTATTTGTCTTTCTCCCCTCTATGCCCCTCAAATCATAAGCTTCATGTAACTAAAAACCTCTTGCATTCTACAAACCATAGCAATTCCATGATGCTGAAATACTGTTTGACAAAATAGATGGCTGAAATTTTTTTAGTAAATTCTGAAATAAGTAATAAATTACATAGTTGAGAGTGGGAGAAGACGGCATTGGGGAAGAAGTGATATGTGAGTTGGGACTCGGGCATGGGTAGGTCTTGGACAAGAAAAGACGAAAGTCTATCCTACATAAAGGAACTACACAAACAGAGGTAAGAAAACATGCTTCAAAATCAGGTTCATAAGAATACATGAAGGGAGACAGAGAGAATATAAAATTGGAAAGACATTATAAATCCACGTATTTTAATTAGGTACAATAATTGTTGCAACTTTATTAAAATGACAGCCAAAAATGTTATCAATTAAACTCTGAAATGGGGGCCCCCAGGTGGTGCAGTCGATGAAGCATCCAACTCCTGGGTTTTAGCTCAGGTCACAATGTCAGAGTCTTGAGATCAAGCCCCACATCCAAGCTCAGTGAGGAGTCTGCTTAAGTTTCTCTCCCTGTCCCTCTGCCCCTCCCTGTGCTCTCCCTCTCTAAAAATAAATAAATAAATCTAAAAAAACCCCAAGTCTGATATTGACTAACAGTTTCCTAAATAAGTGTAACAATTAAAATACTTCCTATACATCGTGCCAGATCTGAAGCATTTTTTTTTACCTTGTACTTTTTCAGGGTATCCAGATCATGAGCAGCATCTTGTGACCCTATAAGAAATAAATCATATCATCTTGAACATAATCATTCTAACTTTTTAAACTAATTTTTGCAGCAATTCTATTAGTTATTTACTTAAAAAATGCAACTTGAAAGGACCTCAATCCAACCTTCTAAAAGGCAATTTAGAAATATTCACTAAAAAATGTTCATCTTGTGGGGCGCCTGGATGGCTCAGTCAGTTAAGTGTCTGCCTTCATCTCAGGTCATGATCCTGGGGTTCTGGGATAGAGCCCCACATCATCTAGCTTCTTGTTCAGCGGGGAGCCTGCTTCTCCCTCTCCCTCTGCCACTCCTCCTGCTTGTGAATGATCTCTCTCTCTGTGTCAAATAAATAAAATCTTTAAAAAAAAAAATGAAGAAATAAAAAATGAGAATGCACAGGCACCTGGCTGGCTCAGTGGGTAGAGCATGTTACTCTTGATCTGAGTCATGGGTTTAAGACCCACATTGGGGGTAGAGTTTACTTAAAACACACAAACAAACAAGGAGAATGCAGAAGAGTATCTATGGCATGGAAATACATTCTCAATATATTAGGTGGTGCTACCATTAGGTTACAAAATCTATTTTCATAAAAATAAACAATACGTATATGCCTTAAAATGGACAGGAAGTATAGAACATAGAACAAATGTTTACAGTGGGATTACAGGTGATTTTTTTTTCTGTATGTTAATTTATATTTTTTACAATAAATATCTATTTCTTTTGTAACTTAAGGATATTTAAAAAACCATCCACAAAATAACTTAATGCCATTTGGTTTGGGAATACCCAATAGCTTAGAGCAAACACTGTTGGTCTATGAATTCTAGCCACATTCCGTGTACCAATGGGGCTACCCCCTTTTACCATTTCTTCCTGTCAAAGTTGGCTCTCCAGATCTACCAAACCTGGAAAAGGACTCTAGCTAATAAGCAAGTCCAAATAGGAGATAACCAGTTAAAGTGAGTTAAACAATTTGAAACAAACTGAAAAAACAGGACATTTACTATTTAAAGATTTTAAGAATTTCTTTCCTAAGTTAGGATCCATTTCCATACACAATGTTTTTCTTACCTTACCTAAGGAATCTGCCAGCTTCTATTATGTGATTTTAGGTAGCTGAAAAGCCAGCAAGTACACTGGTTGGCCAATAGTCTCCTCATAATCTGAAACTCACAGTTTCCTTACTGAGCCTACAGTTAACTTTATTCCTAAATGTTAGTCTATAAAAATATTAACATCTGTTAAAAGCTGGATGCTGAATATGTAGTTTTTTGTCATATTATTGTCTTTAATTGTCTATACCTTTGAAATACCTCATAATTAAAAAATAATTTTGGGGGGGGGCGCCTGGGTGGCTCAGTGGGTTAAGCCTCTGCCTTTGGCTCAGGTCATGATCTCAGGGTCCTGGGATTGAGCCCTCTGTCAGGCTCTCTGCACAGCGGGGAGCCTGCTTCCCCCTCTCTTTCTGCCTCTCTGCCTACCTGTGATCTCTGTCTGTCGAAGAAATAAATAAAAATCTTTAAATAAAAAATAAAAAATAATAATTTTTCAATTTTATGCAGGAAGTTCTAACCATCTCCAGGGGGAAAATGGCTTCAAATAAATTAAATGTAAATAATCTCTTAAATAATAATTAATTCTACTCTGCCTATTTCTTAAAAGAGAAAAAAAAAAGGAAGCATGCATGAATGAAATTCTTTAACACTAGATTGCCATTATTATACTTATCAAAGCTGGATACTTTGATCATTTCCATTAAACGCACACCTCAAATACAACAGGTTGATTACATTTCAGAATTGGCTGCTACATTTTGAAACTCACTTCCAGAATATGAACTCTATTGAAACAGAATTAGTATCCTTGAGGTCAAATAAATGCAACTTGTATGCTCTACCTTTTCAAACAATAAGAAAATTAGGAGTGTTAATAGGTGGGGAAACAATTTTAGTCAGCATAAATGGATTTCAGGTCATTGGTTTGTACATTTCATTTATTGCTTGGTAGTATTATAGTTCAAGTTAATTCTCTCTAAATTCTAGATATAAACATCAGCTTTTCTCCAATTTTAAGTGACTGCTTTGTGTTACAGTCCTGTGTTAAACTTTTATTGGAAAGACACATTAAAAAATAAATACTATAAATCATATGACAGTTATTTTTTGTTGTTTTTTTTTTTGTTTTTTAAAAGATTTTACTTATTTATTTGACAGAGAGAACACAAGCACAAGTGGGGGAGCAGCAGAGGGAGAGGGAGAAGCAGGCTCCCCACACAGCAGGAAGCCTGATGTGGGGCTCAATCCCAGGACCCTGGGATCATGACCTGTGCCAAAGGCAGATGCTTAAACAACTAAGCCACCCAGCTGTTCTGACAATGTGTTATTTTTGTGTGTGTTCCTTTTTTTTCTGAAAAAGTAGAATGTTATCCTTTTATAAACTATCTTGAGATTGAAAAACAAGTATCAGTTTTAAGAATTTTACTGTTTTAACAGTGCTACATTAATAATTGTGTTAAAACTCATAAAACTAAATACCAAGTACTTTACTGTATGAATAGTTTTGAAAATAATTAAAAAGTTGATGAATAGGGAAATAATTAAACAAAGAGGGCTAATAATAACAATTTACAGGTTTTTTTTTTTTTACATTGATACTTACAAGCCACTAATATTCATTATTTGGCCAAGGATTATTATGGAAATATAAAGAGGTATTTATAGTATTTTGCCATCATAATATACATATCATCTGTTTCTGTTAAGAGATTCTTTTTATGGGGGCACCTGGGTGGCTCAGTCGGTTAAGCCTCTGCCTTCAGCTCAGGTCATGATCCCAGGGTCCTGAGATCGAGCCCACATCAGACTCCCTGCTCAGTGGAGAGCCTGCTTCTCCTTCTCCCTCTGCCTGCCAGCTCTGCCTAGTTGTGCTATCTCTCTGTCAAATAAATGAATAAATAAAATATTTTTTTTAAAAAAGAGATTCTTTTTATGAAAGTACTATTTATTGTATAAATTCTGATGTAGTATGTCTTAATTTATAAATCACTATTTTCTTTTTTTTTTATATATATCACTATTGCCATCATCACAAAAACAAACCATTATTGCAATGGAAAAGAAATGATATTCAAAAGAGAAATGTTTTATTTGAGAAAATTTGTAGGAGTGAACATTCATAAATGAATAAAAACAGGAGCATAAATTACTATAAGGATAAAGTAAAAGAATATTTGCAGAAGAACTGCACAAAATAAGAGCTAAACAAATTTGATATATTATCACCTCCCAAGAATATGGGGCTTCCTAGACATCAAAAATTCTCCATAACCTTATAAAAGATTCTAAGATTTTCACTTAGAATTGAAGAGAGGACCTCAAATATCACCAGTTGGGACTTCCTAACAGAATATATATATATATATATGACAAACAATACATGTACCTTTGAACTACCCAAGAGAAATGAAATTTTCTACTTTTACAAAGTAAGTTGGTTTTAAGAAAAGTCCTAGTTATTTTGTTGTAGAAATATAATCTTCAAAGCCTAGGACAAAAATGCTAAGATCTTTTTGTCAACCTGTTAGATAGTTCAAGGGCCTACATAAGATTTTTGAAATACAGAAGCTGGTCTGAATTTATGAGCTAACTGAAAAAGGTTACAGTTTTACAGCTTCATTTTCTTTATTCCCTACAGAAAACAAAAATTAATTTTATACAGTCCTAGGTGGAAGTTGTGCTGCTTTGAAGAGATAAAGGAAGCTCTTTGAAGTAACCTAGAAACAATCACCCCATCTCCAGAGAGAAACTCAGTCTGGTCAGAAAAAACCCCTGCATCATTCATGTGGAAGAACTTAAGATGTAATCATTCATGCGTCCCTCAGGAATAAGGCACTTGCAACTAGGCAGAAAAGGGTCCATCTACCTCTCACAGGAAAGGAGGATGTACCTAATAAATATCCCATTTCCTGGTCCAGAGAGGAGGCCATATAAGGTCTAGTTTCAGAAATCTCTCCCAGAACTCTCCCAGGATTCTGGAAAGGGTTCCAATGCCAATATGAGAATACTACCTTGATCAGCTCACTTTGGATTAAGTCTAGATTAAAAAAAAAAATCATAAACAAAGTTCACGAGAGTGAAATGATATTTTAAAATTCTAAAATAGAATGTTTTAAATCATTATTACTACAATGGAAGCCGTATAACTGAAAATGTGCCTGGGCGTATTTTCTTTCCTAGAAATGGTGTGCAAGTCCTGGGTGAACCTTTAGACGAATTAAATGATCCCTTGATTTTCATGGGGCTTCAGAAACTTGTTGGAAATATTTATTTGAAGTGAAAGATAGCTCATGTAGCGATTCATGTAAAACATAATACAATAAAAACCTCATATGCATACTTGCAATTAATTTGTTTCAAAACTTTTCACAACCTCAGGATAAACCTAAGAGAGAAACAGATACCTTTACTTTAGTTTTACAGGTGGTTTCTTAGAGGACCAGAGAGAACAAATGACTTGTGCTAGTTTATCTGCCAAGAGGTAGAGCAGGACTGAAAACCTGGACTGCCTGAGGAAGTCTAAATGACAATGCAGAGCAGGAGTGGATCAGACTTGAGCTTGACGCCCAGCTCTGTTATTTACTAGGTGTGTTACCTTGTGCAAATTATTTGACTATTGTTAAATTCAGGTCCCATCTGTGAAATGGAGCTGATAATCTCTACTTCCGAGAGTTTTTTAAAAGGAGATGCTACTGTGTGCACTTCACAGCAGGACCTGGATATTTCTGATTCCCAGTTCAGTGTTCTTTCTACTCAAGAATGGCTTGACTGCATAAATACTGGCAAATCATTAACCTTTCCAAGTCTTAATTTCTCTATTCACAAATGAAAAATAATTCAAATCCTCTTGAACACACTAGTTTTTTTTAAAGAATGCCATGCCACATTCTTGCCAAGCTAACAAGTTTGAGCTTTTCATAACTGCTTCATTTACTATTTGCCAACCGTGCTTTATGTAGGGAAACAATATTCTTCCTAATACAAGAAATCATAAAACTATCAAATTCATAGCTATGAAATGAAGATACAATTTCACCTTAACACTCCAAAAACAGGTACTTCGATAGAGGTGGCTATAGGAGGCATGCATTCCATGATTTGTCAGCAGAGGCAGCAAACAAACATTTGGCAATTTCAAGTACTAACTTTTCTATACCCTTAACCCTTGCTATTTACAGTTTTGCCTAATAAAAGCATTCTTTCTAATTTGATGATTTTAAAGGCTATATCCATTTATAATCCAAAAAAATACAACATTAACAAGCTATCCTCCAGAAAAGTTAAAAAAAAAAAAAAGGATAAGAAGTTCTAAAATCCATATGCCAGGTGCCATGTGGTACTAGAATCCATGCTTCTTATGGATATATTGTGGGGCAGAAACATCGCTAGCAAGCTAATGGAAGTTCCAAATCTAAAAAAGGAAACATGTCAGCTTTTCAGCAGAATAGCTGATAGAACAGAATATTACACATTTGTGGGGGGGGGGGACGACAAAAAAACGAGAAAGTAATGTGGCTAAAAGGAATCAATGAGTTAATACCAAATCGATATACTCACCCAGGAGCAACCATGGCTTAATAACACCAATATGCAGGTCCAAGCTAAGATCCTGCACAAAACCACAACTACCCCCACTGCTCGGCTCTACTTCTTCCACAACATGAATTCTGGCATCTTTCCATGTTTCTATAATTTTCTTTCCAGTTAGTGTTGTCACCTTGGTACATTGCTTCCTGAGATTATTCCGGGAGAACGCTTTAATTTCCTGGTTAAGGGAGTGCATTACATGAGCAGTGGCTAAGAACAAAATACAAGCAAATCCAGCCAAGACTGGAAAAGGCCGGAACTGCTTGTCCCTTAACCCTCAGATTTAAAAAAAAATAGAGCCTCAGGTGTTCAATCCCCTCCTAGGGATCGCGGCCACACACCGGAGACAAAGACTTCCAGGTCCGTTTCCCTTCAGCACGATCAAGTAAGGCGAAGTTTAATTGGCCATTGAGAAACGAGCCCCGATTGGCTGCTGTTTCTTCTTCCGGTCAGCCAAAAATCTGCATTATTTCCACCGACTCCAACAATCTGCAAAGAGTTTGTTATTGTTGCTGCTTAAATCTAGCTTTATTCATGCAAGGGAAAATAGTTATTGGAGAGACGACTGGTATTTCCTCGCTCTCAAATGCAGTCATTTTCTGGCTATGTTGGATTGGCGTCACTTGTGACCATAACCAAACGGGTTGAAGGAAGTACAGCTGCTGCTTTTAGTGTAAGGGCGGACGTTAGCGTGAACCGTACGGTGTCGCGGGGCTTATTTTGTTTCGTTGCTATTGATTTCAAAAGTACCCTTATCCTTGCTACCATCTCTAGCAAGAGCGTTTGTTGTGTAAATGCTTATTGTATGAGTTTGAGATAAATCCACGAAAATGCGTTTTAGTTTTTTTGAGTTCTTACATTTAGTTGAGGAAAGCTGGGAACTGTTTAATTTTTTCTTTTGGCCTGTTTTTGCAGCCGGTGGAGTCCTTTGTGCAGTGAACATACGACCATTGTAAGGCGTTTCTTCAAGTCTTCCATACATAGTTTCAGAGAAACGGGTACGCAGGCATAAACATTTATAAAACAGATCAGTTACGGAATGATAATTCTGTTTACAAAAGAATGGTTTGTTTTGCAAAAGAAATCACAAGATTAAATGGGAATTTTCCTTACCCCACTTGAAATGCAATTTAAATGGTCTTACACATAATGTATGTTTACACATGTATAAAATGAAGAAGTTGCACTACATTTCAAAATTTTTGTTGTTTTGAAGTTTTCTGATATAGGATTAAACCAAATTTCAGGCGCCTGGGTGACTCAGTTGGTCAGTCAACTGCTTCTGACTCAGGTCATGATCCTGGAGTTCCAGGTTCAAGTCCCACATCCGTGTCGCTGCACAGCAGGGAGTCTGCTTCTCCCTCTTGCCTATCCTCTGTCAGGCTCGCTCTCTCTCTTTCTCAAATAAATAAATAAAATCTTTTTTAAAAAATAATAAACCCTATTTCTCCCTGTTGGACAATGAAATATAAGCCTAGGCTATCTACAAGGTACTCTAAAAAGAAGAACGGAAGAAATGATTTGCACCATTTAAACAATCACAGGTTCATCAGAATCAATTCTAACCACACAGTGTTCCACATGTTTATCATACAACAATAAAAACTATCAACTACTGAGCACTTCCTACTTGCCAGGAACTGTGCTTGCAGGCAGTTTTCAGATTCTCAGTGCTATCCATCAGGTGCTTAATTGATGCTTTACACATTATCCCATTTGATCTCACAAGTCTATTACAAATATAATATTATAATCATCTACATTTTATAACTGAGCAAATTCAGACGCAGAGAGAGCAAATAATATATCTGATACTTCACAGCTCCCAAGTTTGTAACTACAAATAAAACCTATATTTGTTTTAGTCCAATGCCTTAGCTCTTATTTTCTTTGAAATAGTGCCCCAACTCCCCAAAACTTATAGCTAATGAATATTGAGTATCTGCTTTGTACCAGTCACTGTCATAGTCACTGGGGATATAGCACTGAGTAAAAAATAAAAGTCTCCTCTTTTATAGAGCTTGTATCCAAGTGGAGGGAGCAGATGGACAAACAATAAATAAATATATAACCATGTTAGGTCATGATTTAAGTGCTAAAAAGAAAAACTGAGTGAAATAAGGGAACAAAGTGAAAGGGCAATATGCTATTTGCTATGGGCCAGTGAGAGAAGGCCCCTCTGATAAAGTGAAATTTGAGCAGAGATTTGAATAAAGTTCAAGCGCCAGACCCTCTCAGCCATCTGGGAGAAGAACCTTGCAGATGGAAGAAATGGCAAGTGCTGAAACAGAATTGTGCTGGTGGGAGGAAAGAGATGGAGATACACAAGAAACTTAACAGGTGGCTAATGTGGCTTCTAGGGGTGAGTAAAGGGAAGAGAGGGAAAAGATGAGGTCAAGAGAAAAATGATAAAGACTTTGGTTTTATTCCAAGTAACATGGGAAGCCCCTGGGGGAAATGGGTGGAGAAGAGGTGGATCCTGTGTTGTGCTGCCCGGATGCCCCTTTAGTGAATGCCTGTTGTCTGGGAGCGCAGTCCCTTTCCAGTCTGCATCCACCGCAGAGGGCTGCCTTGCCTTCGGTTGTGCCTTTTGCAGGATAGACCATATCTGTGACTGACTGATGAGGAAGCATCAAGGTCTGGCCATCCTTGCCCAATTTGAAACAACTCTGAAGGGCACTGTAGCTCTAAAGTCCAACATGCAGTTGGCCAAGCCTGTCACTGGTCATGCATAACCTCTTGACTTCTCTGTCTGCCCAATCCTGATCCTTTCCTTCATTTCCACAAACGTCAATACCGAAGACAATCCTTAAATAAGTCCTGCATGCCAGAACCCTACCTCCATCCGCTTCCAGGGAAACCCAATAGGTGACAAATGACATGAAATTATGCTTAGGCTGCAGAAGGATCTTTCTGGCTGCTGTGAGGAGAGGGGATAAAAGGGAGGCAGGGAGATTTGTTAGGGGGCTACGTGGGAGAAAACAATTGCTTGGGCCAGAGTGGCAGCAGAAGGAGAAGTATCAGTAGTCAGATCCTAGATACATATGAGAAACAAGCCAAGGGTTTTTATTAGCAGGTTAATTTGGATGAGCTTAGGATAATTACAAGGATTTTTGGCCTGAACAACTAATGAGAAGATTTGCCATTTACCACATATGGGGTGATGTGGAGATGAAAAGTTCAGTTTGGGACATGTTAATATGCCTATTAATCAACTAAATAGATATGTCAAGTGCACAGCTGCACATATGAATCTGGACTTCATAGAAAGAATCTCTGCCAGAGGTGTCAATTTTGGAGTAATCAGTCTAACGATGCCGTTTAAGCTATGAGACTAAATGTGATGATCTAGTAGTGAAAACTGATAAAGAAGCCCCATGTATGCCCTCATTCAGGTGTGAGGAAGATGAGGAAGATCCAGCAAAGGAGACCAAGAAGGAGCAGTCCAGAAAATAGGAGGGAAAAAGGAGGGAGAAGTCGGAGAGTACAAATGAAAAATGTGTTTCAAGGAGGACAGTGTGATAACTGTCACATGCTGCTGGTAGTGTTGATTAAGATGAAGACTGAGCACTGTTACTGGATTTAAAGACCTCCTTAGCAGGAACAGATGCTATGTCCCAGCACTGTATGAATAATACCTGATTCAATCCTCATGACAACCCAATGAGGCAGATAATATCTAGCACATTTTTAAAGAAAGTTACAATTAATTTGGAACTTCAGGACCTAGCCTTGGGTCACAGAGTTAGGGTTTGTTTGTAAGATTCTAATAACAAGGATGAATACAATTCCACCTTTACACTAAAGCCCATGCTCTTGCACCACACCATTCTACAGAGGATGGGCAGAATTCTTGGTTACTCATTGATAGCTCCAGTCCCTGCTGATTATACTGTAATACTAACATGCCCGCAGTAGCACTGGACACTTAAGAACTGATTCTATTCACTGACTACCGAACTCAGCCCTTCTTTCTACAGAACAACAACCAAGGTCCAGAGAAGCAAACTGACCTTTCTAATGGCACAGTGCTTGTGATCCCAGATCTCTTGACTTAATAGTTAATGCTTGTTCCACTTCACTACGTGGTTTTTCAAAAAGTCCTTTAAAGGCAAATCTCATACTTAATGGCTCACATAGTTAGCCTGGATGCAGAGGAATTGAAACACCAATTTTTCAGGACTAGAGTGTTGGCAGAAGACACAGAAGAGGCAAAAAGTTATGAGATCGAGTCCAGAGGGAGAACTCAGCAGCATTTCATCCATGGAGGAAGCATTGTCTTTACTGGGACATGACTGATAAAGAATTATCCTGAAAGAGGGGGCACATCCTTACAGGGGCTAAGGGGCCCTGGGCTGGGCAAAAAGAGAAGATGTGATGTGAATACACCCTGGAATATGTTCCTGTGCCCCCTGTATAATTTCTTCTTCTAACAGATTTAGAGTATTTATACCAAGCGCTGTACTAGGCATTTTCCAAGTATTATCTCCAGTCTTCACAAAAATTCCATTTTTAGATAAAGTAATTGAAATGCAAAGAACTGGTAAGCAATGGATCTAGTATTCAATCTCAGATCTGTTGGATCCCAATGCCCACATTCATCCCACTACATAACACATTCAGGCATTTTATATAATAAAATCATCATGGGAATATGCAATCTTAAGTAATTCAGATATGACTTACATGGGCAAAAACATCGATAAATAATAAAAATCTACTTTGCATTACAGTGTGAGGCTTGAGTTAATTGTCTCAATTCTGCACTTTGCTGAGAATGTGCAGACATAAGCTGAAATAAATACAGAGAAAATCCAAACCTCTCTCGTGATTATGGCACTGTTCCCTGTGCAAGCTTTTTAAAGATATTTTTTAAAAAATCAGTTCAACTGAAACAAGTTTGAATGCAAATTTTCTTTACAGATACAATGCCTATTATATGAATTTGTTACTGGAGCATTTTGATTACATAAGATTTTTTGTTTATATATGCATGGCTATAGAGCTAATATAATAGTTCAGGATTTCACGTGGTCCAAAACAAGTGAGATCTTTTCAAAGCCTGGATAAAGAGAGTTTAGGATATAATTTAGAAATTTAGAGTTCAATTCTTTGTAATATACATTTTTTCTATCATCGTAAATTTATTTTTGCACGTTTGTAATTGGTAATGACACAGATAGAAAGAATATCACATTTATACTTTTATAAATGTCTTTTCAGTACTTGAACTCTTCCTACATTATGTGGAAATAATCTGTCACTAATTTAATAACTTCTTTTTTAACTTAAATTCAATTAATTAACATA